GCTTTGTAACCCTTCGTAACCCTTTGTAAGCCCTTGTAACTCTTTGTAAGTCCTTGTAACCCTCTGTAACCCCTTTGTAACCCGTTGTAACCCTTTGTAACCGTTTGTAACCCCTCGTAACCACTTGTAACCCTTTCTAACCGTCTGTAACCCCTTGTAACCCTATGTATATTTTATATTGTTTAGAAAGGCTTGTTTTCTAACGAGAACGTCACCAAATACTTTTCTCTGGGTGTATTTTGTAACCCCTTGTAACGCTTTGTAACCCTTCGTAACCCTTTGTAAGCCCTTGTAACTCTTTGTAAGTCCTTGTAACCCTCTGTAACCCTTTGTAACCCGTTGTAACCCTTTGTAACCGTTTGTAACCCCTCGTAACCACTTGTAACCCTTTCTAACCGTCTGTAACCCCTTGTAACCCTATGTATATTTTATATTGTTTAGAAAGGCTTGTTTTCTAACGAGAACGTCACCAAATACTTTTCTCTGGGTGTATTTTGTAACCCCTTGTAACGCTTTGTAACCCTTCGTAACCCTTTGTAAGCCCTTGTAACTCTTTGTAAGTCCTTGTAACCCTCTGTAACCCCTTTGTAACCCGTTGTAACCCTTTGTAACCGTTTGTAACCCCTCGTAACCACTTGTAACCCTTTCTAACCGTCTGTAACCCCTTGTAACCCTATGTATATTTTATATTGTTTAGAAAGGCTTGTTTTCTAACGAGAACGTCACCAAAAACTTTTCTCTGGGTGTATTTTGCATAAAACGAAACGTTAAGAAAATTTCCAATTTTTTCATCAAAACCATGGACTAACCCCTTTGGAAAAATGCCAATTTTTGTAAGTTTTTGAAACCAATGTTTTCGTTGTTCAGAAACGCTTGTTTGCTATATAAAACGTCGAAAATCATTTTTTGACGATTTATTTTCGCGATCTATGACATGGAAATACAGGGGGTTAAAAGGGGTGACAGGGGGTGACAAGGGGTGACAAAGGATTATAGGAACGTTGTTCTAAGTAGAACGTTCCCAGATACTTTTTCTTGGTCTATTTTGCATAAAAATCAAAGTTGAAGAAATCTCAAATTTTTGACCAAAACGATGGACTAACCCCTTTGGAAAAATTCTAATTTTGCCTTTTTCATAAACAGTTGTTTTTTATAGTCTTCAAAGGTCTCTCTTTTATGTAGAACCTCACAAAACAGTTTTCCTTCATCTATTTTTGATAAAGACAAAACATGAAAAAACTTCAACTTTTTGACCAAAATCATGGACTATCCCCTTTGCAAAAAGGTCAATTTTGCCTTCTTTTTAAATCCATGTTTATATTGTCTAAAAAGGCTTGTTTTCTAACGAGAACATCACCAAATACTTTTCTCTGGGCGTATTTTGCATAAAACGAAACGTTAACAAAATTTCCAATTTTTTGATCAAAACCATTGACTAACCCATTTGAAAAAATGCCAATTTGGTGGGTTTTTAAAACCGATGTTTTCGTTGTTCAGAAAGGCTTGTTTGCTATATAAAACGTCGAAAATCGTTTTTTGACGATTTATTTTCGCGATCTATGACATGGGAATACCAGGGGTTACAAGAGGTTACTAAGGGTTACAAGGGGTTACAAGGGGTTACAAGGGGTTAAAAGGGGTTACAGGGGGTTACAAGGGGTGACAGGGGCTGACAAGGGGTTACAAAGGATTATAGAAACTTTCTCCTAACTAGAACGTTCCCAGATACTTTTTCTTCGTCTATTTTGCATGAAAATCAAAGTTGAAGAAATCTCAAATTTTTGACAAAAACGATGGACCAAAACCTTTGGAAAAATTCTAATTTTGCGTTTTTCATAAACAGTTGTTTTTATAGTCTTT